GAATGATACAATAAATGTAAGAAACTTTACAAATTATTTTAGATGAACAAGTTTTATTACAGGTGAAACTCCACCACCTGCTGGTAAATTACAGGAAGTTCAGTCTGAACTGAAACAGTTTAAAATAGTTTAATCTTTTTTTAATCATTTATTCAGGTTAAGTTTATTTTACAGTAAACGTGTTAATCTAAAGGTCCGGCAGCCTCTCGGTGAGCAGACAGATGCTGACATGTTGACCTTCACAGATCCTCGTGGCCAACTTCCTGGCTCAGACTGAAGCTCTGATGAAGGGAAAAACCTCAGAAGAGGCTCGTAAAGAGCTGCAGGCCGCCGGCATGACAGGAGACGCCCTGGAGAAGCTGCTGCCACACAAAGTAACAAACACACACACACACACACACACACACACACCTGGCAGGTGCATCCTCAGGATTAATAATCTTATTTTCAACATTTAAAGGTTTTCGAAGGGAACAAGCCGAGCAACTCGATTGTTTTCAGGAAGCTGACTCCGTTCACCCTGGGGGCTCTGATCGGTGAGTTCTGGAGGCTCGGGACCACTTCCTGTTGGGTCGGACTCTTTGTTGGAGCGTAGAGACAAATGTTATTTCAGCTTTTACTCTGAAGGTGACATGACACTTCCTGTTTTTCAGCCATGTACGAGCACAAGATCTTCGTCCAGGGGGTCATGTGGAACATCAACAGCTACGATCAGTGGGGGTGAGTGACCACGAGCAGCACTTCCTGTTAGCTCACCTGATGAAACCCTGCAGGGCTTTTATTCTGAAATCTTCAGAACAAATCGATCAAACAGAACTACTTCCTTTTATTTAAGCCCCGCCCATTTTAAGGAGGCAAGTCACAGCTGGTGTTTACTCTGATGATGTCATCACCATGTTTTGTCTCCGCCTCCTCAGCGTGGAGCTCGGGAAGCAACTCGCCAAGAAGATCGAGCCGGAGCTGAATAACGACTCTGAGGTCTCCTCCCATGACTCATCCACCAATGGCCTCATCAACTTCCTGAAGAAGAACTTTGCCTAAGCTCCGCCTCCTGTCTGGCCACCTCCTGATTGGCCGAGTCATGTTGTCTGTGTGAACGAACACTTCCTGTCTGCCCCGAGTATTAACCAGTGCTTCACGTGTTGTTTTTAGGTGTTGATCCATTTGTAGGTGACTCCACCCCCTTATGGTTAGCTGTGACTTTCAAAATAAAAGCCCTGTGTGTCACTGATGCTGGTTGTTTTATTTTACAAACTTCCTGAAATAAATCCTGTTTGCGACAAACATTGAATCAGATTTATAAAACTGGGTGACAGTTTAGCTAAGTGGGCGTGGCTTATGCTTCATTTCAAGTCATGCATCATCCAAATGCTACGTTTAAATTTAGCTAAACCACAACCAAAGGTCTGCTGAACGTGAGTAAATCAACTAAATAAGATTATGACATCATGACCTTTATTACTGATTATTCCTGATTTAAGGGCGACGCCTCCTCCCACAGGTAAACACTTTGTAGTCCATGACCTGACCAGGTGAGTTTCCAGTCTAAGTTTTATACTCAGACCACATTTATTATTTAAAAAAAAAAGTAAATATCTGGGCTAGTTTTCAGATTAAGACTCAGATCTGTAAGAATTAAATATTTTTAGTTCAGACAGAGTGATGAAAATCACTTCCTGTTGCTCCACCGAGAAGGAAATTCAACCAGCAACTTCCTGTCACTCAGTTCTTTAATCTGACCCGTTTCTATTTCAGAGTTCGTTCTCAGTCGGGTCAGTTTTTTCCTCTAATGGTCTCCGTCCTCCTGCAGCTCGTTAGCTTAGCACAAAGACTGGAAGCGGGTGGAAACTGTTAGCGTCCTGAAGACAGCGGCAGGTTAAAGGCTCAGTTTGGATCAGTCCAGTTCAGGTTTCAAAAACCCTCTTTTTGTCTTCGATTCCGCGATCTCCTCGTCCAGCGCCGCTCGCTCACGCTTTTTAGCGTATTTCTTCTTCATGGACCCGACCAACGCCTCGTACCTGAAAAACCAAACAAACCTGAGATCCAACGGACCAATCACAGCGCTGCAGGTCGTGAATGAAGGTTTTACCTCAGAGCCATTTCCTCATCTGTAACATCTGTCTGCATGCGGCTCACGTCCTCCTCTTCCTCCTTGTCTTCTTTAGGATTCATCAGAATCATCAGTTTCTGTGAAAAAATAATTTACAAGTTCGTCTTTTTATTTACCACAAAAAAATCATGTCCTGATTTATTTGAACAAATCTGTGAAGGACGTCCAGCTCCAGATAAAAGGACACAAACCTCCACTTCTGGGTTAAATCCTTTAAAGGACAGGCGGCCGAAGCGCAGCTCCTCACAGGGAACAAAGCTCTTCTCCTCCACGATCAGGTTCCTGAAATCAAACTCAACAATCAGCACCTGACAAGTCCCAAACCTGGTCTCTCCTGGTCTTCTGATTCCTACTCTTTAGCTGTGAGTTCTGGCAGGTCCAGGTACCAGTGTTCATCACTGATGATCCTCTTCTCATCTTCCTCCAGCTGCTTCTTCGTCTCAGCATCCAGGCCTCTCTGCATGAACTGCAGCAGAAATGTTCAGATTTAAACTCGTTTCATCTGCTCATACTTCAGATAAAAGTTTTATTCTCAACAACATAATTCACACAGCAACGTGTTTCAATTAAACACAAGTCTGCACAAAATAACCTGTCATTTTAAGCCAAATTAAAAAACTTACATTTGGACTTTTAACTGTTTATTCAGTTAATTGTGGTCATTTTTACGCAGGTCACAATCAGCTGTGGCTCTAAAATCCACGCCGAATTAATTATTACATCCACCGGGAGATAAAAAAAGACCATAATCAACACCTGAACATGATTAGAGAGTTTTTGAAAACCCTTTAACCTTTAATCGTCAGTTTTCTGAACGAAGTTCGGCGCAGCTAACTATGCTAACCTTGCTAACGCTGCCAACGCTTACCTTCATCCGCAGCAGGTTTTTGGACAGCTTCACGTGATCCATCCTTCACCGGGTGATGCAACTAAATACAACCAGGCTAAACTTAAATAAACTGATTTTAACTATCTTAAGTTGTTTTGAATGTAGAGTTAGCCACTAAGCTAACAACACGAGCAGAAGCCGCACGCGCCACTAGGCTGAACCAATAGATCAGATCAGGCTGATTAATCAAACAAGAGCGGCTGAATCCAAGGTGTGGAGTGAGGACCACAGGTTTAATAATCAATCAATCAATCAGTCAATCAATCAATGTCTGGACCTTCAGAACCCTCCTTTGAATTACTGGACACATTTTTATTTTAACTTTATTGTGTAATAAACAGTGTAACTTTAATCTTGTGTGGTTTTTCATCAATAAATAAATAAATCACATCACATGATGACGTTTAAAGTAGTGGTCCAGAATCAGAACCATGATCAGTTTGTCTCTTCATTCTTGTTGAGAATGACTCATTTTATATATATA